ACATCGTGTTCAGTCTTTAACATCGTGTTCAGCCTTTAACATCGTGTTCAGTCTTTAACATCGTGTTCGGTCTTTAACATCGTGTTCGGTCTTTAACATCGTGTTCGGTCTTTAACATCGTGTTCGGTCTTTAACATCGTGTCATCGTGTTCGTCTTTAACATCGTGTTCAGTCTTTAACATCGTGTTCAGTCTTTAACATCGTGTTCGGTCTTTAACATCGTGTTCAGTCTTAAACATCGTGTTCAGTCTTCAACATCGTGTTCAGTCTTCAACATCGTGTTCAGTCTTAAACATCGTGTTCAGTCTTCAACATCGTGTTCAGTCTTAAACATCGTGTTCGGTCTTTAACATCGTGTTCGGTCTTTAACATCGTGTTCGGTCTTTAACATCGTGTTCAGTCTTAAACATCGTGTTCAGTCTTTTCTCCCGGGCTTTACAAACAAAATCTGCTATAACAAAGGTTCCTTTTTTAAAACACAACTCAAGTTTTTCATCGTCTAGCCAAAAGAAATCAACATCATTTGAAGACATTCTTTTAAAAAGAACATCCCTGATGTCAGCGAACATACAGTATACTAAAAGTGTTTAATATAAGTGTCCCGTCCAGCGGAGGATCAACGGCCTCTGTTACTAACACTGACATAAGACTCCTCTAGCATATTGAGTTAATGCGCGTGCTAGCCAATCAGAGACAGAGGAGAGAGGGTCATCCTTTCACCATTCTGCTGAATATGATCGATCTGTTAAAGGTGTGACTCAGACTGCACTACACCACTGCTTATCTTCCTCTAATGTTCAGGAAACAGCTTTCAGTCAGCCTAATACGTCTGTAAATCATTTATCTGAGGTACCAATCCAATCCAACTTTATTTGTTTAGCACTTTAAAACAACCACAGTTAAACCAAAGTGCTGCACAGAAGAATAAATAAAACACAGAACAGCTCACACGAGATAAAAAGAAAACTACATAAGAAATACAGAATCAATTTAAAAGACATAAAACAAGTAAACTGAACAGGCACGCAAAAAAGAAGTCAAATAAATCAATAAGTCGATAGTCAAGGACCTCGATATCATCCTGGATAAGAAATTAAAATGTGAGCGTCGGGTTAAGTGCGTCTGAATGAAGGCCCGACCAAATCTGAACTGTTTTTTTGTTTTAATAGGAGGGAGCTTTCTCGTCAAACTGCAGAACTATACAGTGTGCAACCATGACGTGCACATCGCACGCCGTCATGGTCACAAGCTGGACTTCAACTTAAAAGTCTCCTGGTCATGCGTCTCTTTTCCTTATTTAAGAGCAGAATCAGAGGCGAGTCTGTGACCTGATTGGTGGATTAAAACTCTGGAAGCCTCATTTAAAACCAGAGACCAACAGTGAAGCTTTAAACAGAGGACTCAAATCAAAACCACATGAATGTATTCTGTTTACAGATCACTACATGCCCCAGTCTTCTTCTTCTTCGTCATCAGGAGGAGGAGGAGGAGGAGGAGGAGGAGGAGGAGGAGGTTTGTACCTGGATGCCTATGAGGTGTCCTTCCCCCTGGAGGAGAGTATAGAGAGACCACCTGCGTATCACCTGAACCAGGGTCAGCCGATGATGGAAGGTACGACGCATCTACAACACATCATCATCATGTTTCCTCTCCTCTGTCTCCTGTTTCCTTTCCCCTCTCTCCTCGTCCCTCATGTCTCCTCTTCTCTGATTGGCCCTGCAGAGCATGTGGTGCAGGAGCCTCCTCACTCCCAGTACAGCCCTTTCATCCTGGTGTCCAACCTGCGAGCTCACCTGTACGTCGCTCTGGAGAAGAACGCCTGGCTGCAGAAACGCATCGAGGAGCTGGAGGAGGAGCGCAACTTCCTGCGCTGTCAGCTGGACCGCTTCATCGTCAGCATGAGGAGTCCGGAGGGTGAGGAGTCAGGAGACACATCTTTTATTTTAAACAATTCATTTCCACCTTTTGGTTCATTGTGGTTACTCTCAGTGTCAGAGTGGTGTGGAGACGCCCAGCGGGGGGTGAAGGTCCAGCCCTCCAGCTCCCCCTCTCCTCCCTCCCCTATGACTACCAGGTCTGGGATGACCCTCAAGCGCCTGCAGGGACCAGGACCTCGGACCCGCCGCAACACCGCCGTCCCTGGTGAGGAGATCAGGCTCTAGACCTGCTTTGTGGTGAAGGGTCTCAGAATTGAAAAGTGTCTAAGCATCTAAAATTTTACTTCCACCAGTAAAACAAGAGTATCACCTGGAGGAGGATAAATACTACACCGAGGACGAGTACGTGGAGGAAGAGGAGGAGGAGGAGGAGGAGGAAGATGAGGACTCGTCTTTAGAGAAGGGGTCCAAGAAGAAGGGCAGAGGGCGAGCCAGCGGAGAGCCGAGGATGAAGATGAGGAGGATCTTCAGGATCACCCACGGGAGGGAGAGACAGAGAGGTGAGGCGACGGAATACACCTGAGGGGGTCCCACAAGGCTCCATCCTGGGCCCTTTCCTATTC